TTTTAACTGAGATTTTCCAGATGAAGTTGCGTGTTTCTCGTGCGTGGTCGTGTCTGAGTATTTCTTAGTTCGGTCGTTCTGAGCCACGTAGGCATTTTTTAAACGTGGATTTTCAGATTTTATTCCGAGAGAAATCATTTCCTCATCATGCCACAAAAACGGCGCAAGTGAAATATATCTGGGAAGATCCTTCGCATCGATGATGGCAAGAGAAAGCAAATCGCACGTGAGAGTCACAACGACGTCGATCCCTCTGAAGGTTCCAGAACCGAGGCGGAACGTTCCCACGCGCGCAAATCGAATGAGACGGATTCCTAATTCGATCGGCGACAAAGATGACTTTGGGCATCGGCAAGGCCCTGGGGATGATTCCCAAGAGCGTTCGACCTTGATTCTTCTTCGTCGAGAAACTCAAGCAATCGCCATGATCGATAGTCGAAGGTCACTCTAAAAGCGTGCGCGTGCTTGCGCAGGCTCTCGACCGGTTAATGAGCGGGCCGATTCGGTGCAAAGATCTGCTTGGCCGGACCAAGCCAATGGGCCCAAGCCAACTAGGACCAAGCCGTTCCAGCAAACAATTAAAAACACGGACAGTTGGAACAACGTTGAATCGACATTTAATAAACGTTCGGAACGTCGACGTAACGTCGGTCTAATTTAGCATTGTTTGCTGGGATATAGCTGTTGAAGAATTTTCAACAAAAATTTCAACAGACATAAAGAAATCCGGGCTGGGATGACTTCCGAAGAGTACTATCCGCTGAATGTTACCAAGGAATATATCGCACGAAAATAGCGTATGAATATGTTAAACGGATATATATTTCAGCTGAGAGAGTCGAGGTAAGAGCGTGTCATGTTAACGTGTTGATATAATGGTTAGGTTTTACGTAGGCATTCAAGAGCAGGATCGTTCGGCGGCCCGCCCGGACCATCGCGTCTGCTAGCTGTGCCATCACAGGCATGCGCACTGTGCTCGAGTCGTGTTTTCTTACGCCATTCTGGTCTAGTCTTCGTTGCTCTGACGAGGTCCCTCATCGCGCTTGCACGGGGAGTAGACCTCAATTTATTTTCCTCCAGTTCGGTCGAAGGCCGAACGAGCGGGAAAGTCAACCTGTTTGGAGAAATGATGGGTCGGCTGGGTTAGAAGAGGGTCTGACTGAAATTAGGCTGACTTTCTCGCTCGTTCGGCCGAACATGGAAGGAATGCGGCTCGCTTCATCTGCCTTCATCCTGTTATCTCTCGTGTTAGTTAGGGTATACTTTCGACAATTGCCACAATTCTACCAAATAACGGCTGTGGCTGATTACAACGGAGACCGCTTTCTGTCTTGTACTCTCGATCGATCACGATTCGATGCGTCTCACTGTAACACGGGGCCAGCGCTTAGAATCGAATCGCAGGCGCAAGCGGAATGACGACGGCTAACAGCTGCCAATTGGGGCATGCACATTTTCCAAGGCGGTCGTCAGAAAATGCTTTCGACTCACGCTAAAAGCTGCCATGAACATACCCGTCGCGACGTGAAAACATCTCTCATCTTAGAAGCGTAGCAATGAAGATTCATAATTCATAGATCCTCTTCCCGAGGAAAGTTTCATCTCGTGCCATCATCAGTGAGGTTGCATAGAACATGTGCCGAGGCATAAATCGTCACATTTCCTTGGGTTTGGCGGGAAACTTGAAGAAGAAATAGTGGCACAACTCTCTAGTAAAGACCGAGGGAAGTAAGGCATGGAGGGCATGCGCGATTCTCACGGAATCCCTTCGACATCCGACCGGAACCACGAAAGGGCTCCCGCTGCCTTCGTCGGCGGGGTTCCAGCGCAGCTCCCAGGTCCTCCACCCTCCAGTTGTCTCTTTCAGCAGCATTGTCTCTTCCGAAACCACCACAGCATGCCACTCCACAATGTGGTACATACTTCCTTCACACATCGCTTGTCCCCCAACAGGATTTTCATCCCCACATGCCCGTTCCTGGGGACTACGACGAATACTTCATGCGAAACCAGCCACATTATGATATGACCCAATCACAATCCAACTTCCCCGCCCGTTTGGCGTTTCCTCAGGTTTCACATTGGGTACCAAATATGGGGCATCTTATGAATCAAGCCTCCGCCCATTTCGAAAGTCAGTTTGGTGTGATAGGTCTTTCCCTCGTCATCCATGAACGAAGTTTAAAAATTCCCAAATGCCACACCATGCTCATCAATCCTGATTTTCTTACTACCACCTTCAGCTACCAACCCATGCCCATGAGAACAGAAAACTTTCTAACTCCGGCCGGCATACCTCCTCAGGTACATGATCTATTCTTGGTTTATGTTTTGTTTCTTTTGTTTTCCGCCTTAGCTGGTTCTTATGATCCCAAGCAGCATGTTTATGTTAATATAACATAAATTAATGTAAATTTGTTGTCCCTTTGAAGTCTATTTTACGCAAACCTTCATCAAAATATTGTCAACATGTTTGCAGAAATGTCGCCTCTGTGATACGCAAACGGTGATATAAAATTGAAGAGAATTTTACATGAAATTGACATTCACGTTTGCATCCCTAGCAGCAAGTTTACGAAAAAATGATATAAAATTAACACTCAAATAGCTTGTTTATATTGATATTATGTAGCATTCATTTGAATTGTTACAATAAGGAAACCACCAGCTTTGAAGGGAATTAATGTCGCTATACACATCCGTTTCGCCTCTAAATTTTGAAGCTCTAATCTATTCAGGACTGTTTTACCTTAAATATAAAAAATGTGATATGCAAGAACTTATTCTTCCCTTCTTTATTTCTGCACACTTCCCTATTCCCTAACTTTACTTCAGCATTTAAGAATTTCCTACGCCATATATTGCAATAAAAAATATCCAAATGCCATGCTCTCCCAATATCTGTTTATAAATCGCACAGTACAAAGAGGAAATGGGGTAAATAAGATAGTATCTTATACTAAATCAGGAAGGTACTTAATTGCATTTGTAGGATGCAGGGAACATGGGTTCCATCTAGTCAGGACTCTTGGCACTGCAACCATGGGAAAATCGGTTACGTTATGGGAAGACAGCTGGTGACCCTCCCCCTACACTAGGTAGCAGGTCAGCAACTGTATGTCCAACTCGTTACCACGTTTCCACCTCCAGTAGAAATCCGCCACTATAATGCCTGGGCGGTCTATGGCCCGCTACCTATGTGATATTTGGGTAATGACATGTACTTGTCGATGTCGAGGTGATGTTCAACACCTTCCTTAGGGAGAATAAATTTCGTTTCATGAAACTTTCTTGTCTAAAATTTCATGTGGATGGTGTGACGTTGATTTTGTTTAGACTTTATATCAAATACTTTTATATCGGGTGAAGTCATGTCTAGTTTATATGAAATACACATCTACTTTGGTGATGTAAATATAGTAACGTAAATTTAATATGAAATTTATATCATTCGCTTGACAATCACAAGAAATTTAAGTTTTTTTTTGCAAAAAATTGACATCTTGCTTACATAAACATGCTGCTTGGGATGATAAAAACTTTTCCCCAAGAAAGAACTGTCTCTCATTCTTTCCCCTTCGACAGGTCTCGCTAGGCGAGTTTGAATCGGTTCGGTCCGAATATCGTTGGGAAAACTAGCATTCCTGAAGAATGCACATCCTTGTCCATGTCCAAGTTAAAGGATATATTGATTATTAGTAGCTTTTTTCGATTGTCTCTTGCTTGGACAGTGTCGCATACGAGGGTTTTTCCAAAAGTTTTGCAACTCTAACACTTCCAGACTCAATTTATTCCAAACTTTGACCACTTCATGATGACATCTTCCACCAGCTGATGTACTTAGTTTCAGTCTGCTGAACCAGTTTTGAAAGCATATTTTAAAGTAATTCATGATGAATGCAGTTAACACCTGGTTCACTACACCTTAAGGTTCCTCTATGGACTTAAATCTTCTTACCTTCAGTGGCTATTCAATTTTCTGAAGGGCCAGAATTCACTTGTTGCTAAATCTGGAGAATGTAAGGGGCAAGACTGACCAGCACATTCCTCCAAAAACCACTCTTTTTCTGAGTTTAGAAAACACTTCAGACATGTGAGTATATTCATAAAGGTCAAGAGGAACTTGATGCTCCTCATTTTGACTTACAAGCCTCAAAATGTCATGCACTGGGATGAAGAAAAGCATGCACGTTCTTTCCAATACCACCAGGTCTCGTGACTTTTACACGTGGTTCCTCATCTTGAAGCATCATGCTTTACATCTTAGTGAGAGGGTCATAGTAAGACAAATTTCTTCACATGTGACAATATCATTCAGGTGCTTCAACCTTCCTTCACCTAAATTCTTGAGCATCAAGCAGCAAAATTTAACATGATTTGCTCCCTGGTGTTCAAGCAGGTGATAAGAAATGCGATAACGAAAGTTCCTCTAGACATGCATATTCTGATGATTTTTCACCAGTGCTGCTTATGTGATTCCCACATCATTGAAACCCTCCATCCCCAAACTTAAATTATAGCACCATTGAATGACTGTGCTATAAGTATGAGGAGTCTCCTAGCACTGCTGTCACATCATCATGGTAGTCCTTAGTATATAAATCTTGCTTGAGGCTGTAGAAAATTACGACCTGGGGATCTCATTCCAGAATTGGAGCTTAAGCCATCACCTTTCCAGCGTTTAGCAAACCAGCCAAATAAAACTTCTTTCCCCAGTATTTCTATATGTAGCAAACCTTTTGGCTAGTGGGCTTGAAACCTTAAGGGATTTAGGAGAAACTAAAGAATTAAAAACACGTCATTTGAAAAATGACTAGTGCATCAGTTGCAAAACTTTTGGAACAACCCTTTTATGTCAACATTAAAAAGCTCGCTAACACTTTGCCTGTTCTTTATATTTTACTTTTGTATTTTAAATAAACACATTCAAAGGCCCATCAATGTCCAAAGGCCACGTTAATCAAGCAGACCTATAATCCACACAGGACCTCAACACTCACTTAGGCATTCCTCATCACGTATCCTGGTAGCTCTCCCTCCACCTCCTCGAACTCAGTATCCTTTAAGTTTCTAAAGGAATATTTTAATAAGGGGTCACACCTCAACCATTTTCCAGGGAAGTCTTCATTATTTTGCAGAGTTGCAAAGAGACTGCTCAGTAATGGTTCAAAGCAGAAATTATTATGCAACCATGGATGCAAACTGAGATCATGGAGGAAAAATGCAGCTTTCATTCTGAGGTCATCATCATCAGTATAGTCTCTCTTGACCAACCCAGGCATCATAAACCTCTTCTTTTATATAACCTTAATAGCACCAACTACAACAGTCTCATATAGCTGCCAAGTTATTGTCCTTTTCAGTGAGGATTATTTGCTTTGTGGAGATCCATGGTGCCAACAAACCACTTAGAGTAATTTGTAGTTAGCAGAAGTGACAGCACAAATTCCAGCAGAGGCCACTTTGTATTTCATAATTCCCATCAACATGAAGAAACAGGTTTTGAAAGATACATATGATGGTTTGGGAGAGGCAGGTCCACAAGGCCTTCTTCGATCACTGTGAGGAAGAGAGTTGAAACAGAAAAAACACTGTAATAGAACCTTCGATTATCCAGAAATGTTGTTATTACCATCTCCACCACCAGAAAAAGCCCATTTGCAAGCGCCAGAAAGAGGGAGAAAGGAGGATGGAAGAATAAAGCACAGAAAGGAAAGAAGCAGAACTTGCAGAGGTGTCTTGCCTTCTCAACGTCTTCCCTGTACAATGCAAAAACACCATACTCATCCAATGTTCACATCCACAACTGTGTCTGGATGATGATGATATAGTGAGGCATGCAAGTTACCATGAAAAAGTGAATTAATAACTATACATGATGCTGAATCAAAATTGGTAAATTTTTCAAGTTGCATTTTCATTAACATTTTCAATTGTAAAAATATGAAAGCATTTATTTTTCTTAATTTCATGGTTGCAATATATTCCATATCCAAGCTCATAAAAAAGAATTTAAATGTAATGAAAAATGATGACAGATGTGCAATAACACTGGACTAGTCAGGCTAAAGTGCTTCACTTACTCAGCCAGGGATGGAACCTCGTGGGTGGTCGCCAGACTGCCTATCTCTAAGGGAGGGAAGGAGGGACACAAGGATAGGGATGATGGAATCCATGCAGTCCAATGTGGGAGGCAAAGCAAGGAAAGAGACAAGAAAAGCAAGCAGCCATTTTAGTCACAAGAACCCATCACCAGGCCTACAACCCTCTTCACCTTTTCCCAATGCTGTGGGAAGTCCAGACAAGTGATGGTGCATCATCATACCAACAGAGGAGATAGGCAGTTATTTTACAATATTACATTTGATATATTGATTCTCAAACAGTGGATAACGATGAGACCATACACCAGTGCCATGAGGCATGAACTCATCCAAAAGCAGTCAAGGCAAAGAAAGAATAAGCTACTCTAGGTCAGGACACTCAATACTTTTTCCAAGAATAATACGAAACAGATTCATTTTGAGAAAAAATGCTGGCATTGGTCACTAAGGTGAAAAAGGCTAACAGGCTAAGCTGTTTCCCCTCTGCATACAAAAGTAGAGTAAAAGCAGGACCTCTACAATGTTCCAAGTACACCTATGAATAAGTCTTTATTTTCTTCTGACAGAAGAACTGTCACTTCTGACTCCAGATAGAGCCATGCACCATCAAGCACACCAACTCCTATCCCTATTAACACTTTGACAGCTGTGAATTTTATAGATACTTTGCCCTTAAATTGACAGTCAAGTGTTTTCCTACAAAATGCCAAAAAATTGCATAAGCTTCTAAAAATAATAATGAAGCTGTCAATTTCGACATCATTTCATTCAAACTTTCAGAAACACCGAATGACTCATACATAAGAAACATGTAAAACAATCTTACACGTCTCATAGTCTAAGTGTAGGTATTATGCTGGCAACTGTCAAAGTGTTATTCTCTCAATTCCTTTTCAGCACAACATAGGTACTATGTTCGAGCTAAATCATCCAAGAATACTACATGCTGAAGGAAATTCATCAAAATGTACAGTTGTGTTACTTTCCAATACTGGACTTACAAGCAGCAATCCATTAAAGAAACTGCTACATGACTGAAATACTGGCTTATCTAATTTGCTGAGATTCAGATGAGGGAGAACAAATAAAACTGTGCGCAATACCTTCTTCTGAGCGGCTGCAGCAACCTTGGACTTCTTGGTGCCTCGCACCTTCTTCATCCTGTTTTTCCTCTCTTTCCTCTGCTTTCGGCCCTGCTTCTGTCGCTCTAGGAGCCCTTGCTGTAAGCACACAGACACGAATAAGAAAATATTCTTTCCTACTGAGCATCAAAGTAAGAATTTGAGAAAGTCTTGATCAGAATTACAGTCATTAGCAAAAAAAAACCCTGATTACCATAATATTTACATTCACAAGGCTCATGGACAGTCATAGCACATGCATTGATGAATTTAAATACCCGGGCAAGTCGATGCTTGGGCTCAAACTTCTTGGCAAAGTCCAGGGTGTCATAGACGAGGGCAAAGCCGGTGGACTTTCCACCACCAAAGTTGGTGCGGAACCCAAAGCAGAAAATGACATCAGGTGTTGTTTTATACATCTTGGCTAGCTTCTCGCGGATTTCCGTCTTGGGCACTGAAGACCGTCCAGGATGGTAAACATCAACCACCTGCCGTTCACAGTGGAATCATGTTCATCTTTATCATAAGGCACCTAGGCTTAATGTGAGAGTTTCCATATAGTCATACAAATAGTCATATCGGAAAGGGCTTGAATATCAAATGTGACTATGGTCAAGAGGTTTTTGGCATTAGGAGATAAAAGAGATGGCAAGTGATAGACAAAAGACAACAGCAAACACAAATAATGGAGAATGAAAGCATAAGAAAAGACAGAGTAAGCTAGTGGGAATTGTCATGAGATGGATGGTGTGGAAGTGAATCCAAGGGTGCGAAGTCAGATGAGAGGAATACAGGCATTGGGTTCATGTAGAGCAGGAGTCTCAGACTCCCAGCCTGCAGGCCACCTTCACATGGAAGCACCATATATGCTGCTGCAAGTTTGAGACTCTTGATATAGAGGATGACTCAGAACATCCTTTGAAGGAAATGGTTCCTTCGATTTGGCCTACCAGAACATAGGCCTAGCACCATGAAAAGTGTTTCTGTCATGGCATGGTATCAACGTGAGTTATGTTATCTAGTCATTCCAGTGCAGCATCCACCACCAATGTAGGAAGCAGAGCAAGAGTCCCTATCAGAAAGGGCACTAGTGGCATGGAGTGATTGGGGTGCAGAAATAAATGGGCAGCATGATCCTGTTTCTTTGGACATATATGAGCAAGTATACTGTAGCTGGTATGCTGGAGCAAAAGAAAAGGAAATATATAGCTTCTTTCATTTGTGAAAAGTTGGTCTCTCTTTCCAGCACTAAAATGAATGACACTATTTAATCATATTTAAATGATAGTGCTGCTTCACTTCCCAAAACAAGTTGGATGTAGTTTAGGCCAAGTCTAGTTCTAACATTAAAAGGGTGGAAAAAAATGTGCATGCAGACAAATCAACAGCATTATGCACAAAAATGACAACTGTTCAATGTATACACTCCTCCTTTGCCAACCCACACCTTGCCAGGGGGAAAGGTAATACACTTCCCTCTGAATTTGGGATACTTTACATGGTTAAACGTGCACTGTTTTTCTCATGCCCCTCATTTCTTTGAAAGAAGTTCGTTCCTCCAACTAATGCCAAAATCCTTCTCAGATGTATTGCTTTTCTTTAGCAATTCATATAGAGAAAACTTATGATGATGCCAACAAATGAAAGCCTTCCCAGAGTTTGCATTTAAAAATATCCTGGTGACAACAAAGAATTGAATTTCTGTGAATGAAACCCTCATTACAGAGAAGGTAGATATGGTAGTTGAGAGAAATTCTGCTGACAAGACATGGTTAGGACAATATTACCAACAAGTGTAACAGCATATGGAACCAGGACCGGAATAAGAAGTTGTGTGTCCCAGGGCAAGTGAATTCCTGGGGCTCCCCCCTTGCTACTTCATGCAAATACAACACTTTCTTTTGTACTTAATATTTTTTATTTCCTTCAGGGGGCCCTGGAAGATTGGGGCCTAGGTCAACTGCCCCCTTAATCCAGCCCTATATGGCACACATTCATATGAGTCTGATTTCTTTCTTAGTTTGCAGTCCATGATACAAAAAATGGTTCACCTTCACTGCTTTGGTTAAGGAAATCTCACCCTTCTTGGGGCCTTGGTGCAATTAGGATGAATGAGGCAAAATAGATGAAATCAGCATATAAAATGAAGTTTCATGCTTTCAAATGCTTTAGGTACTTACCATACAGAGCATTTGAATAGTGGAAGAACATCCACTTGAGTAATGCATCTCCTTTTCTATTCTGATGAAGGGAAAGTGCATAAAACCCCAGGAGGAGCCTCATTTTGACACCAGGGCATGGGTTAAGGCCAAGGTATGCAATAGCAAGGAAAAAACATATATACTGTGTTGGAAATGTGCAATGAAGGCTGGAAGAGTGCTTCAGATCACTACCAAAAGGCAATTGAGAGGGATTCTGCATGTTGGCCCCACATGGCATGTCCCTGCCTACATCTAAATTCCCGTCACTATTACCATCCTCTCATACAATTGGTTCATATTGGGAAACCTTCGGTGTGCACCTGACAAACAATCTCCCGGTGATCCGCAATGAGCCTGACATTCAAGTGGGTTCATCATAACCAAACGCCCTTTCCTTTCAAATGCGATGGCGGACATTCCCATTAGGCTTCTGTAACCATAGCTTAAAGCCTCAATAAGTTGTAAAAGTAATGAAAAATGGGATGCTTACCATCTGTTTTCGGCATAGAAGCCGATTGGTCATGAACTTTCGCGTTCGCAAAGTGGCCGTTGTCTCCGCCTGCAAAATCAACAAAAACGTGATTCCGCCATGCCTATTCCGAGTAAATGGAAGGTGCGTCGCAAAAATGTCATATTACAATGATAACACATTTATTTATAAATCTCCACATCAATTTTGCATACGATTAGCGGATGTTTGAAGGGGAAAAAAGAGAAAACAGCAGCGCATGCCGGGACTTACCATGCTGAACGGTACGTGGATGAGCACGAGAAAGGAGGTAGCCACAGTGGATCATTGGTGACGTCACGAAGGACGCATCCCGTCACTACTTTTCGAAAATTTTGTGATTTTCTCTTCAAAATAAGCATGAGAAATCGTGAGCACATATAAGACAATGAAACCTTAGTCCTATTGCGTGGAAATGAGGAATATATTCTCGAAAAATAGGATGATTAGTAAATGAATGAGAGTGGGGGTGTTGGCAACCCTGCGACTCATCTCTTTTCCCCAAGATGGATGCTACAGATGACCCGATTCCGGAAGATTCCCCCCCATTTTCCGCATCTAAGAGGCCTCGCCTTGAGGGTATGTCAAATGGCAGTGAGGTTATCATACCCCTATCCGAAAATAATGTCATACCTTTACTTGAATGGTTCGGCATTAATCAGCGTCAACATGAGGTCTGAAGTGCAAGGCCTAGCATTGTTTGTATATAATGTTCGGCTAGCTGGGACATGGTTTACATCATTCGCCTAGAATATTTAGTTGCCTTTATACTCATCGTCTACGTAAGTTTAAGAAGGTTTGAGACTTTCGACCTTAACGTTAGTTTTGTCTTTCTCCACCTCGTAGGTGTGGCTGGACCCTTATGATTTTTATTGAGCGTCTGTATAATTGTACGCCTTTCGTACCCCCTACAGTGGGGTATTGTTCATTGCACACACACACCCTATTTATCCAGGCTATGTTATGCACTCACCACCACTTGCAGCACACGTTTCATTCCTCTGTACATGTTCATCTGCTAATGTTTCTGTGGGTGGTTCCATGTGATAGTGTTACACGTGTTCTTTTGAAATCTTAAAGAAATGGGTCTGTTTCAGAAATAAAGCATCCAGATATTTTTTTATATAGTTGAGAAGTATGTAGTAATTGTCTCTGGGATGTCTTTGGGATGTACTTGTGCTGTGTTGAAAGTGAATGGTTTTTGTATTTTCACAGAAGTGATAGATGAAGTGTCAATTCTCAACTTAGTTCCTGAAGTTATTTTTGATATTTCAGTGACTTGTGGAAGTAACATGATTTTATTTTTTTTTCATACCTCATTTGACCACATCTCTCATCAGGTGTTACATATATGCCCCACTATGTACTAGATAAACATATTATACAAGTACCTCATCTGCTCCTCCATATCTTTTGCTTACAGGTTTTTTTAATTGTAAAATTCTTACATGGCCTTGCCATATATTCATTGTTTAAATGAGAAGATATGATTAGGTAATTTTTTCTTTATATGTTCATGTAATATATACGATTATTCTGTATGAGTATCTCTACAACACTGAAGCATCTGGCTTCTTAACTATACTGAACTAAATTGAAGTGAAGAATGATGAAAAGAAACAGGGAGTGAGGATATGGATGGGTTGGGTCAAATTGACAATATTTGATATTGACATCATAGCTGTTACCTCCCCCTCTCATAGGAAGTCAAGCAGTGTGAATGTGTAAAGAGTGGCAGCAATGTGCCTTTATATAACTGTGTTTAGGACATCTATGATTAAGTTGCCATAACTTCATCCCATGGTTTCAATTTTTGCTGATGAATAAAGTAGATAAAGACCCATTACACCAAAATTAGGCTTCTTTATTAATTTTTATTTCAATTATTTTTTTAAGATCCCGAAGAACCTGATTTGGGAGGTGAAGAATCCAGCTCAATGACCAGTATTGATCCATTGGACACAGTATGCAGAGCTCCAGGAATGTCTGTAGAAGCCTTTTGTGCATCTGACTCAGGCTTCAATGAGATTGCTGAAGGGAATGAAGCTCCATCGTCAACTACTGAAGATGAGGGTCACCTAAATAATTTTGGGCCTAGCCATCACCACCACCATCATCCACATTCCCATCATCATCATCATCATCATCATCACCACAACCACCACCATCATAGCCACCATAAACCAAATCAGGAAGAGCCAGTTGTGGTCTCCAATGGAGGGGAAGGCCAGCATGATGAGCAAAAAACAGATGAAGGGGCAGGATCAAGCCAAGAAAAAATCTTGGATGGGTGAGATTTGGGTGACCTATATGGTCTTTTGGTTGTTCAGTCCCTTTGCTGGCCTATATAATATGTATGGGCAATGATGGTTCATTGTAGAGAGCATGTTAATGGTGGGGAGAAGGATGATGATGTGTCATCCACCATAAGTGAAATCTCAAACATCTCAGGGATATCTGGGATGAGTGGACAGGACTGGAAACCCATTGCAGGTATGCTTTTACCAGGGTATTAATCCCCAGTCTGTCTATTATATATGTTATTAGTATCAGAACTTAAAAGGTACTGGTTCGTTGTCTTTGCGTTCAGGGCCGATGGGATGGATCCAGCAGCAAATGCAACGTGGTGCAGACCCACGAGGTATTCTGGAGGAGTTGATCCCTGACCTGAATCGTATCCCACAGTCTGTAAATGATCTCACACTTTGGAAAATCATCATCAATATCCTAAGCGAGCCACCTCGCCGTCAGAAGCTTCGGCATGTGAATACTTTGGAAGATGTGGTGCGCCTCATCCGTGGGGCAGGGAATATCCTTGTTCTCACTGGCGCTGGAGTAAGTTTCTTCACATACTGCTCTTTCAAGCTATTTTTGGAACTGGAAGAGTGGGAGGAGAACTTGGGTAGGGACATGTTTTTGTTTATTTTTACCACTTGTCTCCTGTGAATTCTGCTTGATGTAAACAAGGGAAAATGTTTACCACCTGGGTCAAGTTCTGCCTTCCCCCATTGAAAGAAGCACTAACACTTCTGTAGAATCTGATTTTTTTTTTCAATAAAAGACACTAAGAAAACAAAAATAATGATAAATTATTTATAATAATTATTTTAACATATTTCATCATTAGTGTATTTTCAATCATTTTTGTAATAGCACATGTTTTATTCATAATGTTACATAGGTGCTGTAGTAATGGGATTTCATACATTGTATTTTAAGTTCACATTCCAATCTTCATCTCTCAAACTGTGTTGTCAGGTATCAGTGTCCTGTGGGATCCCTGACTTTCGGAGTCGAGATGGGATCTACGCTCGACTAGCTGTGGATTTCCCAGATTTGCCTGACCCTCAGGCAATGTTTGACATCCACTACTTCCGTCGAGATGCGCGGCCCTTCTTTAAGTTTGCCAAAGAAATCTATCCTGGACAGTTCCAGCCCTCACTGTCACATAGGTGAGCCTTGATTGTTCTCTTGTAAATCTCTTTAACCCTTTGGGTTCTGACTATTTTGAATGTGTAAGCACTGTTATCCAAGTTTTTTATATTCATGGGGCCAACGTGAGGTATCTCAGGCATGGGGCATTTAACCTCTAATGAGGTTAAAGTTATGGAACCATCCCCTCCATCACTACCACATCCTTCCTCTTTCTTATGTTGGGTATACTTTCAGTGTGGAAGACTTGAATGTGGCTAATTTAATGGGGGGGGGGGTTTAGACTTGGAGATATTTATCTTTCTGTATTGCTGCAAGAACTCAATCTAATACTTAGTTGAAAGAGGGTGAAATTTGTGGTCAGTGTCACCCCTAATGAGCAAAGCCTACAATGCTATGCCATTCTGGGCCATAGGTGAGGCAATAAAAATTGAAAGAGGCCAAAAGTGGTGGTGAATGGTTGCCACTCATCCGTGACCTAACACGCAAGGCCTACGAGGCTATGCCATTCACTAGGCCAAAAAAATTTTACCTAATTTCCACCTATTAGACAATCAGCGGCATAAGTATGAGGTGTGAGCTACCATAGAAGCTCTTCCCAATGTTTGTGATAGCCCTGAAAAGGACTGTTTCGTTCTTTTTCATAGTAAAGTTCAATTTCTGAATGTTAGCACCATATCCCGCAAGATGGTCTCAAATGTCTTCTCCGGATTCAATCCTCTCCACCATACCTCCATGAGGTACCGCTCCTTCATATCCTGGGTCGTGCCACGCATTTCTTTGAGCACCTTCAACTTCAGAGTAGTCCACAAAGACTCGATCAGCTGGGTGTGTGCACCGCTCTCTGAATCGATGAAGTTCTCCGAGTGGTTCACGGTTTCATGAACGTACCTCAGCTGGTCGATGCCCTTGTATGCAGGCCATTTATCTGAATGGAGCATTGTACCCAGGTCTACTTCTGCCTGTATAATGTCGTGCAGTGTCCTCCAGTCCCGCCAATTCACAACGAAGAATCGACGTTCCACAATGCCGCTGTCCAGCTTCGTGGCGAGTCCATAATTTCTCCTTCCCTCAGGAACGTCAGCAACGTCTGCAACCAGATCTACATCCTAGGAGCTCTCGTTGCCTGCCTCTGGCTCTCGATCTCCAAGTAGCAGAAGTCCTTTGTTCGCTTTCTGTTTCCCTTGAAAAAGAGTCTCATCCATTTGCACGATTCTTCCGGGTCCACCCATTTTCTCACGCCTGGTCCACATACGGGCTGGGACATCGCGACATTGGTTGAACCAGTCAACCACAGCCTGATGGCACAGTCCCATGGCACTCTTTACCTGGAATTGGGACTGATTGTGGCACCAAAGGAACACAATCTCCAATATCTTACATATTGAAAGATTGTTGTGGGCACGACCCCTTATGTCCCTGTAGGTGAAGAAATCATTGCTGCGCCGTACGAATTGCATTCTTTGGCAGCCCTTCTTCACGCGCCAAAAGCAAACGTAGGAAGCCTCGCTGCCACCCGCCTTCTTCTTCTTTTGTGTGTAGAGCCTGGTCCCTCCTCCACAGCCTTCTCGAATGCAAGCGGGTGGGGTAGCTTCGGCGTCAAGAAGTCCGTGCTCCCTCAAAAATGTGTCAGCACTCTCTTCGCTCCGGATAACGGAATAAAACTCCGAGAAAAGCATCCTGAGCAACTAACTGTTCGCGAGAATATGATGGTTTATATACTTCATTCACCGATAAGCATTCACTCACACCTCATACTTATGCCCAATCAGCGTAGCAGTCACAGGCCGCTAGTATGCTTGATTCCTTAGTGGTCTGCAAACCAATCAGATGTTGTAGATTCTTGATACCATTAACGTTGATACTGCGTTCAGAACTTTTCCTTAGGCATTTCTGAAACCTTGAGGTAGGTTTTGTTACAATGAGATTCTGTGGATACCGTCTTTTAGGGTGTTTTTGAAGATTTGACAGGATCTCCAGTCATGTTAAAACTTCCTGTAAGAGCAAAAACAATGGCACAGAATGCACTGAAAGTTTGCAGAAGGCTCCTATGATATGGGGACTCGTGAGTCATGCTGTCAGCATGAGAACCATGTTGCTTTCTACTCTGCCATTGGTTAGGTGGCTCCTGAGCTCAGTTATGATTGACTGGCTCATTATCATTGCTACGAAGTTTCATGAATACCAAAGATATGAAGTTCGTATGAAGTTCATAAGAATATCACATTCTTACAAAGTTTTCATGAAAACAGCCCCAGTACAGAAGTTACTGCAAAACATCCATGATTGTTCAAGCTACAATGTCAAATTAATGCTCAGTAAAATAGACCTAAAGGGACAGGCTTAAAATGTTATAAGGATAGTTCCATTTTGTTATGTATTATGGTGTGATTTTCCCTATTTAAAAAATGTTTAGCCTGTCTCTTTGAAATCATTATTTTGATTTCATCAGGAGAAAATCAAATCACTTCTCCTAGCTATATTGACTTAAATAATTTTTTCAGGTTCATTCGCCTTTTGGAGAAGAATAGGAAGCTGCTGAGGAACTACACCCAGAACATAGATACCCTGGAGCAGGTGGCTGGTATTGAGAACATCATTCAGTGCCATGGTCTGTTCTACTTTATTTACTCTGAGGCTTCTGACCATGGCTACAATTTATATAAAATATGTTTGGATATCTAACATCCTAACCTTCAACTGACTGGATCTCCGATACTAATATTAAAACTCATTTCTCTATTTTCCAAATCCATTTTTCTATTGCTTTCAGTCTAATCATGTGCCTACTATATGAAAACAAAATGTATACCAAGTCAAGTGGGGATCTCTTGAAAATATATATTCATGATAGTTGCTGAGAATTCAGTAAAATCTTCCATGCTTTCATTTATAGCTGAAGTGTCCAATATTGCATCTGTCTATACATAACATTGATGATATTGGCTGCTTCATGTACAGAAAAAAAATTGAATAGGTTAGTTTGACCCTTTCAGTATCCCTTATGTGTTTGCGTTTGATCAGGGTCATTTGCAACGGCTACCTGTATGCGCTGCAAGTACAAAGTAGATGCTGAAGCCATCCGAGCGGACATCATGGAGCAAAAAATCCCCTACTGCCCCAAATGTCCCCTGGAGGAGCATCTAGAGTCTCAGGACCCAGCTGCCTCATCCTCCTGTTCCTCTACATCCCCGAATTCCTCTTGTCACTCTTCTCACTGTAAGAGAATCTTTCATTTCTTTATTGCTTTTTTAAAATTTGATAGTTTTTGTTTGCAATAGTATGTGTGTCCAGAATATAAAATAATATATTGGGTGGGATGGAAAAAAATACCAGGCATCACATTGGAAACATGACAAAATTTGCTTCCTGAAAGTTTTCAGTTCCTAGATTGTCGGAATTAAATACAACAGTCATTCCAAGGACTTTGATAAAGTCGAACTTTTTCATGCAAGGTGATTGTGATCTCAGTACTTCTTAAAGATTTCTCTAATTGTGCCACAAAGGCTGTTTTGTCTCAGAGCATTACTTACCCTTGCAATGTATATATGACATAATGTATCATTTCTGTGAGCCAGCTTCTCTATTTTGTTCTCTCATAATGTTTCATACTCCCCCTTGCTTATTCTAATTATTCTAAGTAGGCATTCCATGTGTCCATTAGACTCACTTCATTCATTCTTATTCCATTTCTCGTGAAATTTTATTTTTTTCTTCATTCTTACTGCTTTTAATGATGCTGTTAATGGCCAGAAAAAACAGGTACAAGTTCTTTGGTCAAGAAACAGAGATAAAACTAGGTAAGTGCATGCTATCATTAATGAACTTGAACTGTGTGACTAGAAATGGGGCAAAGTAATTACTGAAGGGGAACCAATAGAGCACCTGATGTGTAGGAAAATGAAAGAGAATATGATGTGTTGAATGAGTGGCCTGAATTTTGGCATCCAGAGACATGGGCAGCTAAGGATAGGATGAAGTTGTAAGTATGTGAGGCCTTAAGACAACAGGAGGCAAGATTTTGCTGGTGGCATTCATTTTGATTCTTTATTGCTCTGCTAAAGCTGGTTTCAGTAGAAGTTCAAGATTAAAATATGTGTAGTACCACTTAGTTGTTGAATTTCACTTGAACATGAACAGGAATAAAAACAATGCAATTAGGATAATGGGATCTGTGATTTGATGCACATCCTGTGAAAGTTCCATTTACACTCGTGTAGATGGATGCCTCAGGCACTCAAGGAATGACAGTTCTTGGCAAAATGTATTGTATGAATTTTGAATAGGATTGTGTATTTGTCTTCTTCCTTTCTCAGGTTCACACCAACATGTACTGGGACATGGTTTACCACCACCCAAGCCAATCCTGAAGCCTGACATAGTGTTTTTTGGGGAGGGTCTCCCTGAAACGTTCCATAAGGCCATGGCAGAGGATAAGGACAAGTGTGACCTCCTCATTGTCATTGGGTCATCTCTTAAAGTCAAGCCAGTTGCCCTCATTCCCAGTAAGTTCTCTCCTAGGCCATTTCTAATGCTGCATTGCCATACTTGTGCAAAAGGAGGTAGAAATGTATTGAGGTGCTCATTTGTTACCCAGTGTGGCTAACCAATTTTGTGGCATGTAGAGGGTGTCAGTTTTCATGGCCTTATTCAATGAAAACTGTTTTGCAAACATTCAGCTTTTCTGCTGGAGATTGCCTTCATTGGTGGATAGATTGCACTTGATTAGTCTTTATAAATTATTGGTAGAATTACAGGGCCTAAGTCATTCAATGCATACCTCAGCCCCTCTTTTGCAATGCATCAATTCATGGTTCAAGCACAAAGGCGTGGATGTGTTACATTTACTTTTTGCAAGGTTAAAAAATCATTTTCCTTAACCATAAACTGGCTATGCCAAAGAGGCTTTCCATCTGTACAGGTATTAGGTCTGAATTTTTTTGAGCACTTAAAGCTGCTGTAACAGACCATTTGTCTGTGTATTTCCATTTCAAGGAAGGGTGCAATTATAAAACTTGCAATATGCTCTTACCCTTCATACTCGGTCTTTTTCCAAATGCTATGACTAACTTTGGACCTGATCCAACTGAAGGGTGCAAAATGAATTAATATTAAATTTGCTATTGAAAGAAGTCTTGCATATGCCATGGAAATTTTGCTGGAATAATTGCAGTCTGTGTATTGAGTGTTGCCTAACAATGTGGCTGGAATACAGCAAAGGTGTATCAATAATGGATGAATGATTTTGTTTCTTTAGGCTCTATTCCAGCAAGTGTCCCACAGATCCTAATCAACCGGGAGTCCTTGAACCATGTTGTGTTTGATGTGGAGCTCCTTGGGGATTGTGATCGCATTGTCCTTCAACTTGCTCACAGGTCTCCCCTTATTTATCTCTTGTGTAGCATTCTTTAATACATGTCACTATGTGTGGTTCAATTACAAGTTGAAGATGCCTTCTCTCTCTAAATTTAATTTTCTTTTGAAACATGCTTATCAGTGTTTACTTCTATTTTCTTCTCTTATTATTCAAGTGCAGCTATCTTATAGTGATCTCCTGTATGGGCTTCATCTTGTTGCAGCATTCAAAAACATGCATCAGAAAAGTGGGAAACACAAATATCACATTTCTAATCCATGGAACAATGGTGAAAGTAATGTCATCGGGTATCTTTGTCCTTGTTATGGAAAGCAATCCTCCTTCTTCCATTATACTTATGCTCTTGTTGCCAGGTATTTTTGTGAATCTGGTTTCATGCTTTACAAGTGTAACTAGAAGATGTAAAAAAGTTTTAGTGCTCTGATGAAGGCAAATGCAATATAGGCATCTGACATGGTTCTTATCTTTAAGTTTTTGCAGATGGGTGACCATAAGGGATGGTTTAGGCTCCCATTCCAAAAATTTCCATTTACCTTTCTCATTTAACTCTAAACCATTGAAGTTGTGCAATCAGGATATTTTTGCACAATGTGCAATATACAGGATTGCATGAAAGCAAATTCTCCCACAGGGTGTAACCCCATGTTTATCTTTGTGTTAAAACTCCTGTAACTTCCCTTAATGCCAATAGTGGCAATACAGGAAAACCTTGTTAAATCGATATCAGATACCTCGAAGTCATCTACGTTCCCTGTCCGAGAGGATAGTGATTTGTATGTTTTATAGTATGGATAATTCAAAATACAGATACTATGAAATTTGAAGGCATCTTCTGGTCCAGTGAGCTGTAAACTCAAAAGTTTGTTCGTTTACTTTGAAGGGCGCTTTTCCCTAAGACGTACATATGACCTGTCTCTAACTTCGCACTCTAAATGGCTGCGAAGCAAGCTAATTGCCTTGGAAGCTCATTTTTCTATTCAGAAGAATTCTGAATATAGACCCTTGCCCTTTTTCACTAAGAATCCCTATCTACCCTTGCCTATCTCATTCGTACCTTGTACGACCTTCAGTCAAAAAACTTTACGTTGTGGCAGCACAGTCTCTCTCTCTCTCTCTCTCTTTCTGTGTTGTGAGTGAAATGGGTGAATGTGCCATGGCGAATGAGAGGAAGTACAGCGAGTTAAGTATTTCACAGATGTTGGAAGTTATTTGTGATGTGCACAAGAAGAAAAAATTGAAGACCGATATCGCTGATGAATTCAGCATACTGCTTTCAACTATCCTTATTCCTTGAACATTGTGGCACCATTGAAAAGCTGGCTGAAGGTGGCCATGAAACCAACCAAAGGAAGAGAATACGAGGCGCAAAACATGCAAATTTACTGTATTGTTACTGTACTAAATCCAGCTGAATAGTACAATATTAAAAAATACCAATGGCCAAACCAGATAATTTGAACTCGCTTATTTTAAAGTAGCTTTTTTCTGGTCCCCTGGATTTCAAATTAACGTGGTTTTCCTGTACTAAAGACCCATGCATGAAATATGGAAAGCACTTGTGTGCTTTCCATATTTTGAATTTTGTTACTATTCCAGTAACTTGTAGGGTTTTAAAATGTGGATATTATCTGGTTGCAAAAGGGGCAATCAGAGAGTAAGATGAGCAACACCTTGGAAAGCAATGAATAGTGAGATACAGCAAGAGCAGCTGTTAACACTGGCTTGATATGTATTGGTGTTTTGCTGTGGATTCGATATTCATTTTAATGCAGTTGTAATTTTGGAAGGTGTTTTCTTATAGTACTGGTATTAGATGTCAAGTTTTTCCCACCTTACCTCCAGAATGTGGAAGAGACAATTTTTGAATGAGGATCATTGCTGAGTTTTGGCCTCTGTTGACTACCTTATGAAAATAAGCTTATTTCAAGAACAAACTGCAGCTTAGTTCTACCCTGATTGAGTTATGGTATCAGGTGCAGAAAAAGCCAAAAGAGAATATTGACTGACTTCATATTCTTCAGAGGAATTCATTCATGGCTTTGAATACTCCTCTGATCAGACTTGGAGAGAACTGGAATGAGGTGTCAGAGGCTGGACCACCATGCCAGGAGATAAAAAACCTCCCACCTCGCCCACCATCACTTGATGGAGGTGACAAAGACAGTGGTGAAGAACGGGCTCCACGTTCTGAACACGACCTGGAAGCCCTGAGAGCGTGCTGGCAACCAAAGATCTTGGAGAGCGTGTCTGACCGACTGCCTGGTTAGTCTCTTGGTTTCTTGCAAGGTCCAATTCATTCATCTTCATGAGGCTTGATTTTATCAGGGGTCTCCAAGTACCCAACTGAACCATGAGACTTCAATTCTCCCTTCACTTATTTTTTGGTGTTGATGCACAGCAATGAAATTTTTTTTTTTTTTCCAGAGGGAACCTATTTCCACATGCAGCCAAACAAGTATATATTTAAGGGAGCCGAGGTTTTTCTCGATCCTGACAATGAGGAGAACCATTCCGATGACGATGATGACTCCTCGTCCTCGAGCGATTCACTCTCGTCCTTGCCGTCTCCTCCATCTCCGCAGCCCACCACCAGCCAGGCAGATGACTAAACTTTGGCTCTGTGCCTTGTGCTGTTTCTTGGCCAGTTTTATGGCTCTTTAGCATCGGAAAGGAACATGGTTTGTGATACCACTTTGGTACTTGAGGAGTCATTCCTCAGTTTGCTTTGTACAGCATTGGGTATTTTTGGTCGCATATTCCTTTGATTTATTCACTCTATTTATGCAACCCCTGTATGCTGTGAAAGATTTCAAGTACAAACGGAGAAGAAAATAATTTTTTTGACTTTTTTTTGTGAATGTGCATGCCTGTGTTGAAATTCCTGTGGAACAACACATGGCATTTTTTGTTGTATGAGTATCAGTCTTTTTTTTTTATGAATTTCTCTCCTTGATGTTGTTCTTGTGCTCCAGCCAGAAGGCATTTTCCTCATCTATTCCCTTGTTTTCAATGAAACTTCATTCTCAATTGAACATGAGCTATGATTTGATCTAAACTCGGATATTGTTTGTAGTTTGTGATGCAATCATTGTGTTATGGGGCATGCTAAGTGTGGAGTAGTTGGAGTCAATGTGAGACTCTGAGTGGCACAACGTCATTACCACCATGTGGGAGTCTTGCATTCGTAATTATAGCCTGTCAAGCATCAGGCCCATTACATGCATTTGTGCTGTGATCCCTATAATTTCCATGGAAAATCATTTTGTCTCCCATTTCCATCTTGAACTACTTCACTCCCTCCAAGCAAATTGGGGAATACTAAAAAAAAATCCAACCCACTTGCGAAATGATGGAATGATGAAAATTTAACATATGGCACAACTCATTCTGACTACTGCATCTGAAGAAATTACTCTCTTGAACCTTGGTGCACAATTCCATCTTTGGAGTTGCAAGTGCCTCCTCTTCTCGATGATGTCTAGAAGAGGGACGATGCAGGAACCTGCGCAATTTTGCCAATATCCTGCAAAAGCAGCATGCGATGAAGGTTGGAATTTGTTCCCGTTACTCACTCCTCTTAGGACCGCTGCCAGAGGTATGGGATTATTTATAATCTTCCACACGACGAATTCTATTTTCTATTCCATCTCGCATTTGCTTAGCTGCTTACACTAAGCCACTTCTGCTGTTGGACTTTGATTGAGAGGAATGATAGAGATAGGAGTAGTCATAGACCTATAAGATGCATAATTCAGCACTTATATAAAAAGGTCCATTGAAACGATGAGGGAAAAATATTCCAAGATCCTTTCGGTCTAGTAAGCCCTCAAGGGAATGGTGTTGTAGTACCTGAAGGAAAAAGGGTGAGAAAAAATTAAGGGGGGGGGAAAGGAATGCTAGAAATGAGGATTATGCTTTAAAGTTTTCTCCACAGCCCAGCTTCAATGTTCGTGCGCGACCCATGCGATACACTGTTACTTAAACTAGTGTCACGATTATCAAGTGGTACGCATAGCATTACGCGTGGTGCAGTTAGCCCATTCGTCCGGAATACAGAGTATGTCAATGTAAATCTCTTTATCGCCCGCTATTTAGTGCCATGATGAATCCGAAGACCTTGCACTCATCACGTGATCCGGAGGCGAAAACAAGCCAGGACAACCCTGCACCATGCTGACGGAGCACCGAGGGTGCTTCCATCTTGGAGCACAGCCGTCTCGTTCCTTCATCTCTCGTCGAAGGTGCCTCTTACTAACCGCCTTATTAGAAGCAGTCGTCCTGTAGTGCTGTGCATCCAAAAAAAGGCTCTTGTTAACTGCAAATACACGTTGCTTGAACAAATAAAACACTTTTCTTCCAGAAAAAATTGACATTAAAAATGTTACGTCGCATCCTTCAATTTATCTTGGTTGTTTAAATAACGAAGAGAGAGTAAATTGTAGATGACGTTTTCTTCTCGCTGCGTAGGGCCAGCAGATTCCCTCATTAAGCATTTACAGTGTTTTTCACTTGACTCGGACACACGTGCATGGGACGTTCCCCATGCACCAGTGTCGAAGTCGAGTGAAACAGTGTCTGACTCGAGTGGAAAACACTAGCAAAAGAAGACGGAACGCGTATCGGAGAATATCGATTGGGGAGCAGGAATAAAATCCACAATTACAGCAGAGAAAATCCAGGCACTTAGCGGACCACATCACGTCAGATGAAGGCGGTTTGAACTTGGAACCGTCCCGCTCACGGAAGCACTCTGGCCGCATGGCGTCCACCCCGTGCACTGCCGTGACCAGACTGGAGACAAGGGCAGTCACGACGCTATTCTGCTCTTGGTAAAGGGATGTGAGCGAGCAATGTGAACTGTATCCGGATGGTGAGCGAGCGAAGACACGTACGATAAAGGTTCGAGCTGGTTGAACGAAAAAACATTCCAGGAAGCTGAACCGACGAGGAAACGCTATTTGCGTGCATCAGCGCCACAGAGGATTCCAGGCGAATTCCACGTTCAAACAGTCTATCATTAAGTATCACATGCTAGTATCCTTAAAATACGTATATCGGTCGGTTCGAAAATAAGCGTGTATGCAGTGGGAACGTTCGTTTAATGAAGTTTTTCATAATATTCAGATCCCCAGCTCAGGGCCCATAAAATACAAAACAATCGCAAACCTGACAGAGAACTCTGCGGACCGAAAACCGTCAAAATAAGAATCCGGGTGAGGCTACGTCCCTTTCCATGAAGGCATACAGTCCTCCAACGCCCACTCATTCCAGAGAATGCCACGGGGGCAGCTTGAAGTGAAGGCCCCAGGCTCAAAGCATCGCCCTTCTCTTCCACGAAGGAGGTAAGGAACATCAGAAAACGTCTGGGTGGATGGACCCGCCACGGAACCCCTTTCGGCATTTGCCGAGGCGCGATCAAAGTCGGATGAATCTGGTCTATTACATATCTCTTTCGACTTGCACACGGTGTCTAAAAAGTCCGGACACATAGGTATATGGGGTTAAAACGTTCTTTCAAATTTCAGATAATTGAAGAAAATGGGTGACTATAAATAGGAAGGAAAAAGCCGGATCTAACCCCTTTCAAACTTTTCCTTTCGGGACAACTGAAATTAGTGGTTTACAACTCAAGATCACACAATATTGACGAGCTGAAGGAGAACATTCGGAATCGCATAAAAAAATAAGTATTGAGGTATTACCCTAATGATGCAATACTACTTATCTTGCAGGTTTCATTCGAAACGATCGGATTCCATACTCTACCTTCACAATAGGTAATATTTGGTTAGAGAACTTTTGGAGCGCCGTGTATATTGCGACCCTGTAAATGAATGGGATTCGAGCAGAGTGTCGCCTCTAGTTACAGTCTAAACTCTATGGTTAGGACCATGGGTGAGAGACAGAACTGTGGGCGAGAAAATGCATCTCGTCTGCGCATTACCTCCCATGGTTTTCGTACTTTGGATTTCAAGGAAATCATATATATGTGCGCGCAGAGCCGAGATAGCTCAGTTGGGAGAGCGTTAGACTAAAGGATGTCGGAGGATGGCGCCTCCCAATTAAAATGGAAAAAATTATATCATGAAGGAAACTTGGTTTTCTTGAGAAAACCAAGTTTGCCTCATGCGTCTTACTTTTTGTAGTAACACCCTTTCAGGTTTCTCTCGGATTAACACTGTTTCTGATCGCTCGGGGAAAAAGGTGTACGATCTGCCGAGGCCCGGGATCGAACCGGGGACCTTTAGATCTTCAGTCTAACGCTCTCCCAACTGAGCTATCTCGGCTGCTTATGAAACAAAAGTATTTTCCAGGGAGGGAGAAAGGCGGACGAAAACCTGTGCGATGCACTAAGGCTGGGCTCTTGCACGATTCGATCACAAAGTAAAACCCAAGTGGAGGCGGGCATTACCTCCAATTTTAGTAACTCGTTTTCGACAAGATGAAACGAGGTTCCGTTTCGCAAAACCCCTTAGGCACCACGAAGAGGCGCTGCTACGATCCCGAAGCAGAAGCGCCCAGATGACCGAACCTCCCTTCTCGGCGAGGTCTCTCCACCGTCTTAGCCTAAGTGAGATGGGCATCGTTTTCTTCCAGAGTTTTCGCGAGGATTTTCCTCTCTGGATGTCAGAGGATGACGCGTCTCACTTGACCCAGAGGCGACTGGTCAGCTCGTAGACTGCGTTCTTAGTTCTGGCTGTGTGGCTCCAAACCCACTACTACACGAGGTATCTGAACTCGAAAATGACTTCGAGATTGCCTAAAAGGAATCTGGCCTGCTCGAATCAGGACTCCAGCAAGCCACCACGTTTCCCAGAAATGCTGTGAAATGTGTAAACAGCACTGCAATTTTATGAGAATAGATATAATGCTGATAGTGTAGTGCTTATTTCCCGCTGCGGAAGGAAACGCAATGAAGCACTCGTTGGAACTACCCGAAGCAGGAGGGCGTTCTCCTCCGAAAGATAGATTGTGAGATGTGCTAGGTGTTAATGACAGACCCATTCGATGCGCCTTCAGTTCGTCTGTGAGGCACCTAGTCACCCATTGAGCGCACACCTTTCGCACACGAAGATGCTCGTATGGACTGTCCTAACGCTATGGTCCACCTCCTGGGCGATCTCCCTCACCGTCACACGACTGTTTCCAAGCACGATATCTTCGACACGATTGACAACGTCCGCTGTGATGGCGATGTGGGCGTGGTCATGGTCGCGGACAAGCCCGGTCGTGGCTTGTCCGCGACTGATTGCTCGCCCTCACGGAATCGTTTACACCAGGGGTGTTAAGCTGAAATCGGTCGGTGGGCCGCATTCCTTACCCTGCAGATGCTTGCGGGCCGCACTCATAAAATATCACTGAAATTTGTGCTGACATTTAATTCATGCGGAAAATTTGAAAGGCAGACGGCGGGCTGGATGAACCACCTCTGCGGGCCGTATGTTTGACACCCCTGGTTTGCACCAGTGCTTCGCGTGGACCAAGGACAAACAGTACTGTCCATATATCGCAGGCATTCGACGATGTATGGCTGTTGCACCAACACCTTCTGCGGTCAAAAAGCGGATCTCTCCACGTTGCTCCTCCTTGGACACTTGCGGGACACGGGCAGGGTACACTTTTCACCTCTTGTACCGCTTGGATCGGCGAGAAGTACACGGTTTGCCGCTCACGGTGCTCTATAGATACCGCGTGTCCTATGGCAAGCAACACAAATGCGCGAAATCACGTCAGCACTGTGCGTTGTTGATTGGCTCGTTTTCCGTTGAACGCCCCTTTAGAAATATGAAATCATGTACAGCCGTGATAGCTCAGTTGGGAGAGCGCTCGACCCACGATCTAACGGACCCTGGTTCGATCCCGCGTCTCGGCACATGACTTAATTTATAGCTTCCCATCACCTCTGAGTCATCGGTTCCGCTTTCATTTTTTTTTATATTCCCATACGTCACATGAGGGGCAGCTAGTAGATGGCTCGGTGCACAGTAGCAATC